TCTTCATTTGTTCTTCTGGGCCATATGTTGTCTGTCTTCTTTCTTCCAAACATCTTCCTCAGTATTTTTCTTTTCGAAATCTCTGGCCTCCAATTTTCCGTTGCATTGAACATCCAAATTTCACATGCATACAGAACTATTGATCGTATCACTGTTTGGTACATTCTGGTTTTTAAACTTCAAGAGATGTTCTTACTCTTAAAAATTTTCTGTAGTGCGCTAACACAACTATTTCCTGCCATTATTCTTGCCACAATTTCCTGAGTTACATTTGGTTTCCTTATACAAACTTCACACTTGTATCGTTTCCCTCTCTCAGAATCTATTTGTATACATCTTCTCGTTTCAAAATCCGTATCCATAAACTTAATTTTCTTCTCATTAAACACTAAGCCTACTTTTTGCGCTTGATCTTCTAGATCTCTTGCTAAGATAACTAAATAATTTGGAAAGGCTAGACATTGGTGTCTTTTTGTATACAGAAGACCCTCTCTGTTGATTCCCGCATCTTTTATAACTTTTTCTTATACTATACAGTAATGGAGATAGTGGATCCCCCTGTCTTAATCCGTCTCTGATTATACATTTTCCGTTGTTTTCTTGTTTACTTTGACTTCATTTATTGTCTCTTGGAGTGTCAATTTTATCATCTTGGTCAGTTTGTTGCTAACCCCTAATTCTGTTAAAGCTCTAAACACCTCAGTTCTTTTAACTTTGTCATATGCCTGCTGGAAGTCGATAAATAGGAGCATTGTCTGTTTTCCGTATTCGTAATTGCCATTTCAATGGTCTATTATTTTCTCAATTTTTTACCAAAAAAATTACGATCTACAGAAATAATATACAAAAAAATATTAATGATATGTATAATAATTTCTTCCATTCACAGAATTGTTTTTTTTTACTTATGGTTTACTATACTCAACTAACTACTAAGTCACGCTACTGCCTGAATGTATTATGTAAACAAGCTCGAGACAAGCAGGGCAAGCTCCATCGAAATATTTACGTACAAAACTGCGACCCCGATGTCATCGCACCTGGACATTCGTACATAGTCGCTCTCGGACCCGATGACTAAAAATCGAATAGCGTAATGACCTGCCGCCGCGGCCGCCGCTGATCATAGTTAAATTATTAATTACATTATTTATGGGTTAACGTCCTGGCCGGCGTGCTAATCCTATTAATCTTGACGGTTCGGATGTGGGAAGATGGGGCGTGTGCCAAAACGTTACGATGTCTGTGCGGCGGCCTATGAGGTGATATTCGCACGGATACGGAGAGGAAAAAATGTATTTTTAACGATTCGAGGATTTTTTTCGAGGGCGATATAGTGGAGTTCTTCCGGGTCTGATAGGAATAATCGAAAACACCGTCTAGATCAGCGATTCACAAAGTGGGGTTCAGGTGCAACTTCTCAACCTCTAGAATAGCATATTATGCCCTTTTTGAGTCACATCTTCGTTATGCCCTTCCATTCTGGGGTACTTGCTGCGCAACAAAATTCGAATTCGCAAGAGAATTCGACTTCAAAAGAGGGCAGTTCGATATTTATTGGGGCTGAACAGTAGAACTCACTGCCAGAATTTCTTTAAAAATTTGAAAATACTGACTCTTCCTTCTTTATACATTTTTGAATTCGTTTGCTTAATCCGCAAGCACATATCTGCTATTCCCGAAAGGCCATCTTATAACTATCCACTTAGGAATGCAGAGCACGATCTTTATCTGCCAACCCCGAGCTCAGAATTAGTTAAAGGTTCAATACAGTACAGGGTGGGTCAAATTCGACGCTTTTAAATGAAAACACCCTTTTCTATAGGAGATAGACAAAAACTAATATCGGTGTCTGGAGCTCAATTTTTGTCAAAAACATGATGGTGAAAACCGCATATCGATATCTGTTACCGTTTCGGAGTTACGGGATGTTTTTAAAAAATATGCATTATTAACAAATCGCTGTAACTTTTTTGCTATGGAAAATTATGTATTTTTATGAAAACATTTTCAAAGCACCTTTTTACGTAGAATTTAATGGTTTAAGTATAATTTTTTTTAAATTAATAATTTAAGAATTATCAACAGAAAATTTGATTTCTTATATGGGACATCCTGTATATTTTTAATTTATTGAAAAGAATTTAAAATTACCTTTCCAAAAATATAACACACTTGATATTTTGCTCGATTCCTCTTCGAGATATAGAGTATATAAAAATTCGCCCGCTTTAAATAAGTAGGCTTTGAACGGCACCGGCTGTAATGCAAAAAAATTCTAGCTATGAGCATCAATTAAAACGAAAATAATATTTGCTATGAGAGATGCAGAATTTTATAACAATTTAAAATATAACTAATTTAACCAACATCAAGACATTTAAACTCTATCTAATAACAATAAAAATAAATAGCAAACCAAGACATGAGATTTTGCTACAGGTGTTCGACATATCGACCGTCTTCTGTTATGGACAGACGGGGCAGTTTTTGAACATTTCTCGCGGAATTCATTAACTCAGTGGGGGTGAAAGATACCCTCTGATAACTGCTAAGTATTTCTAGTTCTTGTCTAGATAAATATATCCATAGGAATAGGTCCATGGGCACTATAAGTCAGGCGGCCTCGACGGCCAACGGCTGGGATCTTGGTTAGCTATTCAGTTATTCTTGAAATTGGCTGCAAAAATTTGCTGATAATTTCAGCGTTCAGAGGCGGTGCGTCGTCTTGCTGGAAAAATATATTTTCGAGTTCCATTAAGGGCATATTATTAATAAGGGGTCCAAAGCCGACTAGTTAAAAGTGGCGAACTTATAAAATTCTGTATTTCGAAGGGGATTATAACAAAATATCAAGTGTGCTATATTTTTGGAAAGGTAATTTTATATTCTTTTCAGTTAATTAAAAATATAGAGGGTGTCCCAAATAAAATATCAGTTTTTCTGTTGATAACTCTTAAATTATTAATTTAAAAAAAAAACATACTTACACCATTAAATTCTACGTAAAAAGGTGCGTTGGAAATGTTTTCATAGAAATACAAATTTTTTCATAACAAAAAAGTTTCAGCGATTTGTTAAAAATGCACATTTTTGAAAAACACCCCGTAACACCGAAACGGTAACAGATATTAATATGCGGTTTTCACCATCATGTTTTTGATGAAAATTGAGTTTCATACACCGATATTAGTTTTCGTCTATCTCCTATAGAAAAGGGTGTTTCCAATTAAAAAGCGTCGAATTTGACCCACCCTGTACAATGCCAAAAAATGTACAATCATCTGCCTTTGAATATCAAGTCGCTTTCATTCTTACCCGCATTTCGCAAAGCTCTAAAGTCATACCTACTGGAGGGAGCCCTATATGCGGTAAACGACTTTTTTGTTGATGTTTAATTATGAACAATTTTGAATTTTAAAATTTTGATCATCTCACACACTGGTCAAAGGTCAAGTATTTAATATTTTATAACTCTAAAATTATATCTATTTACTGCGTACTGTTCTAAAATTGTCCATGTATATTCTTTTTTTAATTTAAAGACTTAAATTTTTTTTGAATTGTTTTATTTCTATTGTGTATTTTTTGTTGTTTGTATTTTTTTGTGATTTTGTTGTTTGTGAGTGCTTTGTCGATGAAGCTGTTTTGGCTTTTTGTACAATAAAGCGTTGTTTGTTTGTTTGTTTTGCACTGAAAAAAATTTAAGTAATTAAAAAAATATATATTATTCTATTTTTAATAAGAAACTTGTAATAGTAAGATATTTTTACGTAGTTTCAAAAAAAATGTAATTTTGCAAAACAGTTTATTAATATTAAATGATTATCACAAAACGATATTATTTTCAAAATCTGATAACGATGGATGGAACACAGAATTGGAAGAGCAGAAAAACGTAAACATAAAGCATATCACAAATGGTTATATATAAAACCTGAAGACAGGGCAGAATACAAAAAAGAGCTCGCTACTTTCAAAAAATTGTTAAACAAAGAAAGGAATGAAACGTGGGAGAGAAAATGTGCTGAAATTAACTCATTTCTAGGGGGCCCAAGATCAAATGAAGCTTGGAAATTTATAAATAACCTTAGATCGGATAAATCACCTAAAGGATACCTTCTATCAGCCTAAATAAATTCCAAGAACATTATAAAAATGAATTGAAAGAAAGTCGCCCTTTATAAGAAATGATGTCCCCAACAGCTTATAGAACTCGAGGAACATATATGACGGTAAGTGTAGATATGGTTGAAAAGGCTTTAATTACAATGAAAAACGGAAAGTCTAGTGGTCCTGAAGGAATACTAGCGGAACTTGTGAAATGCGGACCGAAAATTTTGAAAGAAATTCTCGCTTGTATTTTCACTACATATATTAATGGGGTGCCCATACCTGATTCATGGAAAACGTCATGGATAACTCCGACCCACAAAAAAGGAAGGAAAGATATTTGCACTAACTACAGATGTATAGCTGTGTCTGGCACTCTTAGCAGACTGTACGGAAAAATACTTAAAACCCTAATAGAAGATGAATTTAGCCCCCGTGAGATTGAAGAACAAGCCGCCGGGTTCAGAGCAGGCCGCTCATGCATTGATAATATCTTCCCAATAATTCAGATCATTGCGAAAAAGACGGCAACGAATAACGACCAAATTCATCTCCTGTTTGTGGACCTTAGTAAGGCTTATGATACGGTACCAATTAAGAAACTATGGGAAGTTCTCGAAAAAAGCCCCATAAATATAACACTAATAAAAGCGGAACAGCAACTTTACTGCAATTGTTCCGCAAGAATTAAAATAGGCCCAACTCTATCTGAATTATTCCCAATATAAAAAGGTCTAAAACAGGGTTGTTGTCTGTCCCCAACTTTATTTAAAATCTACCTATCAGAAGCTCTTAAGCACTGGCGCATGCAGTGCTCTCAGATGGGAATACCTATTAATGACAATCTTTCTCTGTATACTCTGCATTTCGCCGACGACCAGATAGTAATGACACAAGACAAAGAAGTCCTAGAATACATGACCAGAAAACTGATAGAGAAGTACGAGAAATGGGGACTGGAGCTAAACAAGAAAAAGACAAGATATATGTGTCTTGGTGGCGAGTTGGAAGACCTAATATTAAATAACAATATAAACATTGAAGCTTGCGAAGAATATATGTATTTAGGGGTAAAAATCGCAAGCAAAGGGAGATGCGAAAAGGAAATCGAAGAACGGATTGGTAAAGGCAGAAAGGTGATAGGAGCGCTGAACTCGGTGCTTTGGTCTAGGGATATCTCGGATCACAGAAAAAAACTGATTTATAACGCGATTCTGAAAAGCGTTATGTTATATGGCTCTGAGGTATGGCAGTTAAGCGAAAAACATAAAAAGAAGTTGTTGTCGACCGAACTGGACTTCTGGCGAAGATTAGCTCGAATCTCCCGTTTAGATAGAATTAGGATCGAGAGAATACGTGAAAAAATGAAGGTGGAGGGTAACATTGTACAAGATATACAAGAAAAACAACTGCAGTGATACGGCCATGTGCAACGAATGGCTGACGATAGAATACCAAAGCAACGGCCGTATTCATAGCAGTGTTCCCAACTCTCAAAAATTTATCTCCCTAAAAATCTAAAACGCTCGCATCAAAAAACCCCAAAATATCCCTAAAAACCTAAAAAAATATCCCGAAAAAACCCTAAAAATATAAATAGTAATAAATAAACAAAATAAATAAACAATTTGTTGTGTTTTAAGTGGTTGACCTTGAAACGTCTGATCACAGCAGTGTAGCGAACTGTTCGAAACTTTTCCTTAAAGCCAAATCGTATTTGCTTAAGCTATCAAACCTTCTTATATCCAAACAACTAAAATCCCCACAACTGTTATCCAAGATTCGGTGATTAAAATAAATAAATTATTTTGTTTTATTTATACTTTCCTATTAATTTTGAAAAATAGCAGTAGCGGTTATATCTCCTATTTGGTAGCGGTAAAATTCCAATGAAATTTCATCCCTTAAAATATCCCCAAAAAAATTTACTCCCTAAAAAAATCCCCATATAGATTTTTTCTCCCCAAATTTAGGGATAAAATCCCGGAGTTGGTAACACTGATTCATAGTCAAGCGCCAGCCGCCCGCCGAAAAGAAGCGCTCGCCGAAGATTTCTCCGGCGAGCGCTTCGATATCGGGAGAGAAAAAAAGCTCTTTCATAGTCGGCCGCCAGCGCACCGCTGGCTGGCGAAAATGACGGCGCTTCGCCGACAAAATTTCACTTCGGGTGGAGGGTTTTAACAACAGGGAACATGTTTTCTTCCTTTTTCTACACAAAATCGGTTATACGAACTTTAACATTCTCTAAATATTTAAATATTTTATTGATATTGGGTAATTTAAATATTTTATTGATATTGGGTAATTTAAATATTTTATTGATATTGGGTAATTTAAATATTTTATTGATGTGTCCATTATTTTGTTATAATTCGTTTTAACGTAATGAATAATATATTCGTAATCCTTCACTTATAGTAAAAAGATTTACAATTTTTTATATACATATTTTTTTGGCTAGGTATATTTTTGGGTCATAATAAAAAGAATATTAAGTAAATAATTTACATAATAGGGAATTCCATAGGTCTGTTCGGTTATTTGAAAATTTTATGGATTCGTTTTTATTACGTTTATAAATTTTTATAGACCTTAACCTTAACCTATTGGTGCTGTGTTGAGGATTTTAAAATTATTTTAAGGGAAAATATGACCAGAGTAGAAGTAATTTATATTTCTAAATTGACTCTATTTTTGTTTTGTGCAGATGACTGATGTTTTGTGAATTTGGTATATTTTTTCCATCAGTTTGTGTAAATTACAAAGAGAATTAATGTAATAAACGAAAAAACAATAGGAAAAATCAAAAATTATAAACATAACAAAAACAAAACGATAAAACATTTAAATGGTCAAATAGACGGACGGAATTCATATGCCTCAAATGTAATGAACAATGGCCTCAAAAATACGTATGTCATCGTTCTCGTCGATTTCTGCATTTAATTGTACATTTAATCGTCACAATATTATAAATATCCATAATTAATTCAGTTTGTTTGGTGCTTCTTTCAACTAGAAAAATAAACCAGACTAAACTGGCGGGCCGCCCGGAGATGGTAAGGACATGCTCCAGTCGCCGGCCGAAAATCACCGGATGGGGTTTAAACTGCGCAAGTGTTCTTCGCCTGGCGATCGACTATGAAACGGAAAAAAAATGCTTATCCAACCGCCCGCCGGCGAGAGAGCGGTTACTCTATATGACGGATGTGCGCACGCGTTACTCGGAGAGCGCTCGACTCTGAAATAAGAACGAAGAATTTCGGGAAAGCTTCCGCCAGCGGGCGGCTGGCGATCGACTATGAATACGGCCGCAAGTGTTACAGTGGACCCCTACAGACAGACGTAAACGAGGCCGACCTAAACTCTCCTGGAATCAAGGAATCGACAGAGCCATGTCAGAAAGGAACCTATTACCAGGAGATTGGGACAATAGACGGAGGTGGCGCATGGAGACCGGAGGGCGACGAAGGACGCTGTAAAACCGGACATACATACATACATATTATTTTCACAATGAGCTTTATATATTAGTTTAAAAAGAGTTGAGTATTATTTATTTTTTCAGACTGTGTTTCGGAGGACGAATATAATAGAGGCCCGGAGTAGAGATACATCTATAATCTCTAAGTTGGTAAGTTGGCTGTTTTGTTTAGATACCTTTTTCTTGCATGTTTTTTTTATTTTGCATCTAATGGCAATTTTGTTCCTATTTTGGTTAGGCTGAGAGTTCCAGTAATGTTTTTCTACACAAGAAGAGATGGCAATGAGTATCTTACATATATAAGTTATAAGTTCTGTTTTGTAACTTTTTATTATCCTTTATAATGAATATTATAATTATAAACTCGTGTTTTATTAAATTAAATATTGATATTATACTAACGCTTTGTGACTTTACAAAAGTAATTGTAAATTCGCTTTGTAACACATCATGGGTACCTCAGCCGGAGACTAGCTCCTCGACTGTAAATGGCACGGGGGGCTAAACCCCAACCGTGGAAGGGTTGACCCTCGTAGGAGGTAGATGTCCTCGGAGGACACACATCTGTTGTCAGATGAGGATGGGAAATACTCTGTCCTCCTTACAACAGGAAGATTCGCATGATGAGTTATAGACTGTATGATGAGTTATAACTCAAGAAAAGGGGACACACTCCCCTTCCACTCATTCTACATTCAGCCTGTCAATGTAATCATATTCTTTTAGTAAATACAACACAAGAAAATATACTTTTGTTCTTTTAATTTTTATGACTCCGACGGTGGGAATTGGGACCAGTGTTGGAATTTTTGGAATTGGAATTCAGCCAAATTTCCATCGTTAGATCCAGTGACATCAGAGAAAAAAAGTTTAGGAATATCTGGTCTAGATCTTTGAATAAAATGATTAAAGAAGGTTCATATCAACAAATTTAGGTGGAGATTTCTTTTATCAAAGTACGGCAAAAATTTTATGCGATGGAACATTATAAAGTGTTATATTTATATTTCTGCAATTTATACAAAAAAAGTATTGACAAGTTAATCAAAAACCTATTTTGTGCCCTGAGTCAACGTTAACAACGCTAAATTTATAATATAAGAACCGAAAGGAAGGTAGGTGATGTGTCATGTTCAATTCCCAACTCAACATAACACTGTACAAACTCGGAAGACCTACCTTTACAATATTATTTTAGTTTATATTTAATGACTACTTATTAATGAAATAATATAATTACCCAGGTAAAAACATTTATTATACGATGTCCGTGAAACACCCTGTAGAATGGATGCACCGTTCTCTCGATTTGCGCAACTGAAACAGGTACTTTTGACGTCAAAGGAAAGCAATCACGAATGCCGTTCACGTCAACCTCTTCGTTCGTGTCAACGACATTATAATAATTTTATTTTGTTTCGGTTTTGTTAAATTTTTGTAAATTCTCGGAATTCTTTCGGGCAATATATCAGGGTCGTAATAAATAGAAACAAAAAAATTACAGTAGTGTATTATTCTTCTAGAAATGTTGCATTAATACTGTTGCCTTAACGGTTTGTGGTCTGGGGAGTAGGGAATTTTAACTGTGCCACTTGATGATTGTCCTTTTTTGGACAGTCGGTCTGGGGACAGATTTTAGGATAGACTAACCTGGTATACGGAGGGGAGAAAAACCAGAAACGGAATAGGAGCTAGAATATTTGGCAATTGATAAATAGTCTCCCTTCGAAAGTTGGCATTCCAACTGGTTATGCTGTAAACCTCTAAAAATTTCGATATGTTCTTCCGAACATACTCTTTCTAAGTTCTTGGACAGCCTTATCTGTCCTAATCTTCATCACAGATTCTATTGCAAAACTTCCTAGATACAAGTTGCGCTTGTTGTAGTAGCACTTGACAAAAGCCAGTATCTGAGACTATTTTACAGAGGGTAGTTCTCCATCTCCGATATTAGTCGTACCAAAGTTTATGGCACCGAATGATTGTCGTCTCGGTGCACGCATTCTAGTGTTTCCCCATTCTCACCACAGAGTCTGCATGCGCCGTTTTTTTTCTGAGCTTTAATCCAGATTATGGATGGACTCTTCCAAGTCCTTGAGTTCCGTTCGCTCCTTTTTCTAGCTAGATCATTTGCTTTCTCATTACCTTCTATCCCGTGGTCAGCTGGCACCCAGAGTAGGAGGATTTTTTTTGCCTAACCTGTTCTGCTTCCCTAGACATTCTTGGACCAACTTTGAATTGATTGGTACTTTTTTTGAATTGAATTGATCGCTTTTAACCCTGCCTGACTGTCAGATAAGATGGCTCTTTATTATTTTCGATAGTTCCTATCTAAGATAAGTTGTAAGCATCTTTCGATAGCGTAGATTTCTGCCTGTAGGATGCTAGGGTAGGTGCCCATTTACTTTATTACTCGGTCTTTGTACTACCGAGTCAACCTTTTTTCAAACCATGAAAAATTAGATTTGCAGAGCAGAGGTAAATTAACCATTAAAAAAAATAAATTTATCTTTTAAAAAGGTTTTATTCTTCTTAATTTATTATGGTACCTAATTGATGCTGTTGGTAATGATGGTAAAAGATTTTTAACAATAGTTTATGATAAAAATTAAGGAATGCAGATGTGTTATTTCTAGCTGAACCCAACTCTGTCCTAAACAATTAAAGATGCATGGTTCGGTATCTGATTTGCATGGCACACGCGTTTTTTCGAACAACTATTTGGTTTTTCCCGCTCGCAGAGAAACCTAACCTCGAAATTTAGAAACTCTCTACTCGAATCCTAGTCAGTGATTACCAAAATGCATTTATTCAATTCCTTTTCTCGGTATTGTTTATCGGTTTAGCTTCGTTTTCATTCCAGAAATTGATTTATTTGCAGGTTGAAATCCGACGAGATATTTTTTATAATGATTTTTTGCGACTGCATTTTCT